AGCATCACGCGTCATTCATGTGTACACAGGCGTAAGGGATACGTTTTTCGCGTGACGATATAATATTGGTGATATGCAAATTTCTCTGTCCGACTCCCGTCAAACTGCTGCATGTAGACAATCGCTATCCGAATATGTTTTTAAATTCTAACAGACATTCTAAATAGAATGATAAATATGTCGTACATCCTTCAATGTATGTATGTTATGAACGACAATGAAATATAAAAAAAAATCCAAGCAATATTCGTCCTTCGCCTTAATCATATCATATTGGATATGGTACCTAAATTGTAAACAAAACAGTCGCTTAAGGATGTAGTTAAACTCACACCATTCCAAACTTGTTCGTCTAATATAAACTTTATGAAAATTAAATATTTCAATCGGAACAGCGAGGAGATGTTTCGCGGAGTGGGGATTACAAGAAATTTGCATTATTTAATGGATACTGTGCGTGAGGATTTGTCACGAACTTCACTGGTTTAGTTTGCTTTGCCATTTTGTTCACTGATTTTGATTGATTGTTTGTTTCAAACTTTACGAACATTTAAAAAGACAACTCATTTTATATAAATAATGACGTGTTTTAAATTCTAATCTTATTGTAAGTAGTAGATAACTTTGGTTATTTTATAGATTAGAATAAGATTTGTAAGTTCAAGTGCTGTAGTTGAAGCAAGCAAGTTTTAAAGTGCGCGCAATTGTTTGGCGTGCTTTATTTTTCCCTTCTTTATTTTTCATGAATAAAACAACAGATTTCTACTTCCGTCGGGTAACTTCTCCCTCCCACCTTCGATTTATTCCTCGGATAAAGAAAACTTCCTTTAAAAAAGCAAGAAAAGTTCCCTTTAATATTTACCGTCTGTTAGCTATCTCGTGGTTTAGCTTTCATATTATGCGCATTTAAAATTATTGTTTTATTTTTTGTTTGGAAAATTATTTTCACAGTTCACTTCAACTTAAACATTCTGAATAGCAACTACCTAAGAAAAATATTAATAATAAATAAATGAATTACACAACATAGGATATATTGTATGCAACCATAGTTAAGGTCGGATTTATAATTTATAACAAACTCTCATAGTATGCACAGTTCGAATCATTTATATAGAAATGTGAAAATAATTTAACAAACAGCATAAATCGTCGACTTTATCAAATACATCTCGATAACAATTTTATTATTCACACGTCTTCACGGTGAGCCCATGTCTGAATAGAAAACGTAGTTCCAAGGAATATTATTATATATTATCCTTGATCATAAGTTTAGCTACGCTATGGCAATATTATCTGTCATGCGGCTACGCATAGTCACTGCTCATTTGTAATTCTAATGCACATGATAATAGTTGAACGTCTAACACAAGGGAAATAACCTGTAATTTTTATTATCAATGTATCTATACAGCTGTAAGTCGTGATATCTATTCATTCATATAAAAATACATGAAAAGTTTTAAATTAAAATAGGATTTAAGTGTACACTTATCTCATAGAAATGTAAACTTATCTATAGATACAATCGGCGATCTATCAAGCTGTACTAGTGACACGTTGTAAGCAATTTAAACTTAAAATCCGACCGCCAACCAACCCCCCGCTTTTAATACTTGCGGATCTGTATTCGATTAAGAATTTTGAATTTGGTAATCGGGTCAATAAAATGTTGTATAGATATTTTTTATATTGGCTGTGTATAGAAAATATGGCAAGAATAATTCTCTTTAATATAAAAGCTTCTTGATATTATTTATTATCAAATTATACACAAATAACTATTACATAAATTGCATACCTAAACATTTTTTTACAACTGTAACATATTAATATAATTATAGAAGATTCACCTGTACCTGTAAGTTGTTAAAATAAACATTGTAGATAAAATGTACCAACATATTACAAAATGTTATAAAAAGCACCAAAGATATAAAATACAACGCAATCCGTCTTTGACATTTTCTGAAAAAAAATTGTCTCAATTCTCACGAGGAACCCTGAAAAGTAACTTTTCCGAGCTCTTATAAATGTATTTATATATCACTGTAATTGTTTTTCGTTAGAAAAGATTTCCATAAATATTCATGTTGTATTAGCATGCAGGGTAGCTCCCGTGTGTGTGTCATTATTTCGCCATTTGCTGCAAAAAGCGCACCTCTCCCCGCCTCTGGTAAGATTCTCCACCGACTCCAAATCAGAGTTTAAATCAATTTAATCCAATATTTGAAACATACCTTTCATTGAATAATTTTGTTCATAGTTTATATTAATTAGAAGTACAGAAAATTCTTTTAAATATATTAACCGATTGCGCCCTTAAAAACCAAGAAAGTTTTTAAATTAAAGAAGCAGAAGCACATACAATAAATTTATTTTGTTTTAAAAAAACCGTTTCATAGCCGTTTAAGCATTCGGCTGAATTAATAAACGGATCTACGCCCACCGAAGGGCAAAAGAAATTATAATCCTTTCTTTTAAAATGCAGTGAGGTGGTTCTTAAAAAGGTTTGCGGGAAATCTAAAATGTCTGCCCCGGCAATTAGTGATCCGGGTAAAATTAAAACAATGAGGATAGGGAACGAGGACCACGCGACGATTTTAGTACAACAGGAATAAAAGAATACTTGAAGTTTAGGTAGGCGAATTAAAATTAATTTAATCTTTAAATAAATATACAAATAGATGGAAAACAACAACAGTATATTAAACTATGATAAGACAAAGACATTGTATATCTCAATTGGATTAATAATATTAGGTTTATAGGAAATATCTGCAGCCTCTCTAAGAGGGCCTATGGGCTAGCATACCATTACTCTTATCCCAAGTTCGCTCGGTCACACAACATACGGAGCGTTCCGTATTTAGCATTCATTAATTTTCGCACGTGATATTATGAAGGTAGGTTTATCTAATAATAAAAAACTGGACACGCTTCACATACAAAGTGACTATGGCTACAAGTATAATTTGACTGTATCTAGTTTCCACGTTTAAAATATCTAAATATTGGGAATTCCAATGTATATGTAATTATATAACTTTTAGTAAAAGCATTAACAAAATCGCCCAGCGACATCTAGTTACTAGCTCTGTAAATAGCGTGGCCCGCTAAGGATACATCAATATCAATGATCAATTATTTGCCAATAGATGTCGCTATAATTTAACTATGTACGATATTAGAGTAGCACATTACATTTCAAAGTTGGAAGAAAATCATTTCTATCAAAATTATAAGTATGTTAAATCATTTTCATCACAATTTCATACTGATCACCATCAAATTTAAACAAATGAAGTCTGTATACGTACATAAAGGACCAATAAATGTACCTACATACAGATATCGTTATTTTATCAAAAATTCTGTTCGACATAATTATTTGACTGTATACTTAGTAATTTTAAAATGTAGAATCCATATTTAAATAATGGCAGAAAATTAATGCCAACGTAACAATTATTTTACTTAATTAGTTATACAAAAAAAATCAATCAAATCGGGCCGTCTGCTCGTTTGCCACCTTTAACATAAAAAAAATCAAAGTAAAAAAAAAGACGAATCGAAGTGTTAACGCAATTATAATAGAAAATGTTAAATGTAAATAATTTCAAATTAATATACTGATATTAACATTACATCTATTAATACAATTTAGTGTGAGTATTAAAAATAACAATCATAGCTGGTTTAATAACCATGGCTCATGCCAAGGAAGGAAAATTAATTAAAGATGGTGTACCAAGGAAATTACAAAAGATGTTATTATAACATTTTTATATTATGGTGGTTGTTTTTCGAAATTTCGTCTTGACAAGATAGCGCTGTCTGTTTCTAAATTCTTGTATTAGGTTTAAGGTTAATTAATATTATACCTAAGTATTCGTTTATTCCCAGAGAGGGTTGATGTCAGGCAGGCGGGCCGGTCGTAAAAACAATTAGCCAAAAACTATTCACAACATGTAAGGCAGACCCTGGCTAAAGCTGGGGAATTTCCAGGAAGAAGAAGATATCTAAGTATTCGTTTAAACTTTGGCAGTTGATATTTTTAGGTTTCTCAAGACCCACCGTCTATGTTGTTCAAAACAATTATTTATTTGATAATTTTATCATAGTAAGGAATATTGAACAATTTGACACTCATATTACATCGTTATTATCATAAAAGTTAGGAAAAGGCTGAGATTCACAAATGATTTTTGTATGTGAAGTATATTAAAAAATAATATAGGTAAGAACTTGTAAAAATTTTTGTTCCGAGGAATTACTTTAAGATGATCAACGTTTTGGTCGAATTTCTAAACTTGATGATAACTTGATATATAACATATGAAAATTGATTTTCATTATATTTTTTTATTTTATTATTTCATTAGCTCAAAAACTCGACATACCAACGAATTCGACAAGTATTAAAAGTAATTCATGGAACACAAAAACTGATATTTTTGATAAATATTTCAATCATAAATGTTTAAAAATAAAACGTCGGATCTACAAAATGCACTAGCTATTAAAATATTTAGTAAAGATAAACACAATTATCCACAAATAATAAACTAGGTCCAAATATATTGAACTTTGACTGAAATAAGAAAAGATAGATTATAATTGGGATTTATAAAATTGTTGTGTTCTGAAACTAATATTTTTTCGGATTATACCCAACTTTATTTTTACTACTAAGAAGATAAACTTAATAGCTTTAGAATTAATTATAAAATCAACGAAACATGATCAATATTTACAAATCTCACTCCTTATTTCGTAATCTTATACATACAAAAAAAATTACTTGGCAAAGTACCCTAGATGTTGCTTCCCTATGTCACCCCGCCTTTTGCATCATTGGACTTCTATAATAATAATACATTATAAATATATGTATATCTCACTCAAATCAATAGCTCCAATTCGCATTTGCTTGTCTTAATTTGAATACATAATGGTTTTATTTATTTTATATAGAAACTTATACTAAATTGAATTCAATAAAGCAAGATTTTTAAAAGATCTTTAGAAATGCCCTGGCTGCCAATACGAGCTGAGTAAAATGAAGATACCCCTTCATATTCCGTTATCAGTGAGGCGACGAGTTTACGAGCAATCAGCGCGCCAGATAGCGCTATGACGTCACATCCGCTTCCCTTCCTCATCCCGAGTCCGCAGTGCACCTTGAGACATCAAAATATATTAAGTTTTAATTTATAAAAGCAAAAAATCCTACTTTTCATGTCGCAACTTCAAGAAAATAAAGTCTTCCTAAGCAAACATTTCTAAACCTAGATTAAGGTGATAGTAATTCTGAGAACTGATATTATAATTAATTGATAATATTATTTAAATATCATTATAAAATACTCAAGTAATAATTCAATATGAGATAATTTCTCTTCGTCAAATTCTAAGCTGCTATTGTTGTTCGCTGACGTTTAGTGACAATCACCCTCTGCAAGGAAGACAAAGCTTTGATGGTACTGAATATCTATGATTTTCCTCTAAAAAACAATCATACATACTCTTTTTTATATATTATCCACCAAAAACATACTCGAAATAAGTCTTCTTGCAATATATCTAATAGAAACCTCATGGATTCGTATAAATGAAAACATTCTATTGTATTCGAATAAAAGATATAAAAATGAGTATAGTTACATGAATTATTTGGTTCGTAGGTAGTAAATATTTATCTGTTACATAAAATCATTCCAATTAATATTATAATGTCTATATAAAGTTATTTGTATTCGGAGTACGTTGAGCATGACAGCGCACAATCAATGCGCTATCACCGCTGTAATAAAGACATCATTATAATTGTTTTAATGGCCAGTCATTGCATAAATGTTGAATATCTTTTATTTAAAATAACATTAGCCGGTTAGTTGTCCGGTTGTTATTTGAGATTTTTATCGTAAAAGCACTGTATCATTGTGAGATAATAAAGGCGAATGACAAAGTATTATTCGCGGTTATTCATTTCCCGCGTATAGATTCAGCCAATCTCAGCGGGATACCAGAATTTTCCGAAAGGGATTCGAGTACAATTGGATTTTTGGTTAGAAAACCGGAATAATACAAACGGGTATCGTACTGAAATCTCTGATTTGAATCGTTCAAGGCTTTCGCGAGAATTGGGGATGCGAAGGTATTTTTCTCGCGAAATGCTGTATCATGGTGTTGAAGCGAAACCGGCGCTGGCAACACCCGACACATCTGAATATATACAACTATATATATTTACAATATCATCCTTATTAAAAATATTATTTTTTATATTTCAACTTTCATTAAATTTTAACGAACTTTTATCAAACTTCAATTGTTTGAAATCACTTTGGTTATTGCAATAAAGAATAATATAGCCATTATTATATATAAAAACGTTACTTTCTTTATAAAATCTGAATAAATATCCATATTTTGTCATAAATTCTGAAACAGCTTTGTGTAAAGTGAGACATGTGCTCATTATGTTTATCTGTTTGCCGGAGCGACGCACGGCCGCTCAAATGGGATAAGGCGGCTTTGTGATTGCTCGCTGCTGATTCTAAGCACTGCCTCCGAAAGGATGCCTTCTTAATGTAGCTGGATTACAATTGTTATCCTCCTTGTGATATACGAGAAACACGAACATTATATGTGTACATATACAAATAAATTTTCATATATTTATTTTAAAATGTTTGAATTAAAAGCAATAGTGAAGTTATGTAGAATTGATTTTGATAATTCATTAAATGCTTTATGGATAATACTAAAATATTTTATACTTTAAAGCCTTCAAAAAGTCCACAAAACAATTCAACTGCCTAAGAATGTATGAAAATTCTCATAGAATTTTAAATCCGAATTGAATAGCATGAAAAATCTAGAAAATATTACCTAAATAACTTCAAACTAACTGTACTGCGTTCTTTAATGTCCAGCGGCACTACAAAGGCAAGGCGTGACCTCAGAGGCGTGAGAACGGTGAACCGCCCGAGAGTCTATCTCCCCCCTTACCCCCCAAATACCCCCCATACCCTCCCTCATACCCCGCCTCATCTGACCACACATAACATGAGGTCAACGGTAAGGTCCAATAGAGATGTTGCCGGCCGAAGATATAATTCCAGAATAATTATCTAAAACACATTAAATTGTACTCGGAAATCTAACGTAATCGTAATGGCTTATTTGTATAAAAAATTATGTATTGTTAATCACTGTGATGTATACTGAGAATTTATATTTCAGTTCGATGAATGACTTGGAATTTTCATAGATATTTTTCCTTGTTGACTATCCCAAGAAAGGAGAATGTCGATGTTAAAAAATACGAAACATATGACATTTAATTCGTTTTTCTTTTACACCTTTAATTCTATTAAACGCCGACCTCATTAAGAGGAGGTTAAAGCTTGAATTTTGGACGAGAATTGATGACCATCATACGTCATCGCCCTCTCAATAAATGTTATTCAAAAGCGCAGGCTGTGGACTTGCGTTTAGCTTTGAGGCATTAAAAGCAAAGAATTATTTTAGAAAATGTACAGTCCACATAATATATCATGGACTTTTCATTATTGTATACAGATTTTACTACTGGAAACATTTAGAGATCTACTAAAACGTATTTCGTGTAACAAACGCGTACAGTTAAATATCGTCAAAATGAAATACATACATATATATCGTCGTTCATATCGCAGTTCAAATTTAAAAAGCTTTTTTTATGACAGCAACCTTTTAATATATATTTGAATCAATAGTTAATAAACATTTCTATTTTAATAAAGAATTAATACTACAATATCTGTTTATTCCATGCGTCTTTACCTACTATTGAAATTTCTAATCAACAATGTACATATAAGAATTTATATTTTAAATTTTCTTCTAATTATTTTATGCTTCATATCACTGTGAATCTGCTATCAAGTTTTTCAATATAAGTTAAAAAAACAATTTTAAATTAATTGTACTAAAATATTACAAGGATTTTTTGAGTTCCAATTTGTATAATTACTATCTTTACTTAAATTTAATTATTTAACTAAATATGATTTCAGTATCTTAACTTAACATTTTTTATCATTCTTCTAATTAGAAAAATATACAAGATGCACAAACGCTGCTTGCTACTTATCGCATAGATTTTTATTGAACAGGTCATATCAAAGACTCATATAAACTGCAGTATTACTATATTCTACTTTAATTTAAATACGATATTTCACTTGTGTCTGCGCATTCTTATTAGTTTGTTTCAAAGCAACAATTGTTTTTTTATGAAATTATATATTTTTTAAGAGTTGTGGTAAAGTTTTCTTTCCTTATAATGCCAATTTAAACAAATGTAGTAAGTAAGTTTGAAAAGTTCGAGCAGCATTTCTATGCTTCTTTATAGAATCTCAAATCTTCTTTTCTTTTCGAGCAGCACTAGTGTAAAGCATAATACATGAAATATAATGTATAGATATATTATTTAATTTATGATCTGTGGAGGAACCTGAAAAGCCAGTCACACACAAAATAAAACAAATTTATCAACATTCAAATTCAAACGATCAAGTAATGAGTTGTTCTTTAAAAAATGTATAATAATTTGTATCCGAGCTTACCAAAACCGAATTAGTCTTGAACCCCGAAAGTTTTCCACGCTCTATTAAACAATTTAGACGCTCTCTCTAGATAAATGAGTTGGCTGACAGTCAACCAAGTTTATTATATAGCATTTAATACGTTCCTTTATTATGTGTCATGTCAATATTTTGTCACGAACGCTGGACATGTACTAATGTCGTCATTAATATGTTTAAAGCGAATTAACGCGGCCGGCTTTGATGTTACACGTTTCGGTTGGCATATTAAGAATAGGTGTCAAAACAATATTTTAATTTAATGGACATTTATTGTTATTAACACGTGAACCGGAACAGAGTTATGTTGTTTAAAATGGAAGGAATGAAAAAGAATTTTAATTAAGTCAAGTCGTCGTAAATGAAGCTTGAAAGACAAATAAGTAATAGAATTATATTTCCGTTTGTTTAAATTACACATTAAAATTTTAAACCAATTCTTATTATTCTTTGCTCGTCTACCCTTTGTACATTATGACTATGACTCCGACTGTTTATTCTCGAATTGGTTTTTAATTTTTAATTCATATTTCTTGCCAGTTTGTATGGTTTTATTATTATTATTATTATTAAAATAAGGTTATACTTTCAAACACTTCAACCAAGAAATATATGCACGGTTTACGGTTTGGTTAATATTTTGAACCATGTTTAGGTACGTCTTATTTGTTTCACTCAATGTAAAACATAATTATTATACTCAAGAAGCTAAGAAAAGTTAAGTGAACGCAACATTTTAAAATATTATATTCATTTACATTATTAATACATAATATAAGTATTCTACATAAAATTTGTACTTTATAATTCACACATAAAGTTTTTGTTTCTGAAATTACTTAGGTATACATTTCTGTTAATATAAGTTTAAAAGTATTTTTTTATATTGTTAGTAGGTAACAGTATGAGTTGGAAAGCCTATTTAAAATCAATATTTAGTTATTAAAGTCCGTTTTTTCAGAGTTCCAACACAGTTATTTTAATTATTTCTCAGTACACAGTGTATATAGCGAGCAATATTTTAATTGTAAACGCACGACACGCCCACCGGTCACGCAAGATCGCGTTTCGAAATCTACTCAACCTTAAACACAAAAACAGATCCACGATAAATAAGTTTTTTACACGAGACACTAAACCACAGAATGTTTAACATAAATTATAAAAACATTTACAAACAAACCAACAATATGTATATTTCGACGCCTTATTGGAATACGAACCAATCGCGATCGATTCCAATCGATATAGGAATTAAGTACACCTGCTATAAATTTAATTCCGTCAGAACTTTAATTCGTTTGCGGCCAATAGGAAAAAGTATATTACGGTGAACAAAAATGCTTATAAAAAAGGGACGCGTACGCATCAGACGGGGGGCGTTTCGGACCTCAGCTTGGTACAAATTCAACCTGTTCTTTTTATAGATACATTTAATATATCCTCTCCATAGACAGCTGCGTAAAACAAAAGCACATTCGCAATTTATCTTTTGTTAAAAACACCAGCCAGCCTTAGAGCTTAATAAAATATTGCAATATAAAAAGGTGTTGAAGATATATTAACAATAGTTTTTAATATGTTTTTAATTGCTTTGCAAAAAAACTATAATGATCTAGTATCAAAATCTGTTATTTTAAATTAAATTAACTTCTATTCTTATACAATAATATTGCAAAAATAATTATTATGTGATCTCATATAATAATCATAGAAAAATATTATATAATTCAAGTTCGAAATGACCTCCAGGCTGTTTTAGATGTTATATCAAATTGGGTCTTCAACACATAATTTACCAATTAGATCGATACAAGTTACTAGGACTAAAAGGATCTAGCTTCGAATAAAGACTGATGGTAGAAAATTATATATAATTGGACTATTACGGAGCCCGAAGGCGGGACGGTGCCTTCGGACGACGTAATGTACTGATTATAAATGGTAACATGTAATCGCATCGTTTTCGATGCAGGATTCAGTTGGGCTTATTATATTAAGTGGGGACTGAACAGGCGTCGGTGACGGAGTAATCGGCCGTAATCATAGACTGGCCCATGTAAAGATAAAGCCAATGTTTAAACTACAGCTTGTATTCGTATTCCTGGAATACATAGCAATTTGCATGTGTTCCATTTTGATTTATGCTCATCTGATATATTGAGTTTTGCGAAGGTTTTGTTAGCCGTTTAATTTGAGATTTACCTTAATGTTTGTTAAATTGAGGCCCTCTTACAATATATTGTATATGCTAATATGTTTGAAAGAAAAAATGTCCATCAATTTACCTCCCAAATAAGAAATGACGCAGGTACTTGTAAAAGATTCTCTAATAAAGTTAGAAGATAACGTTAGACCGAACCCTTAAGGGTCATCCCTTTATTTCTGCAACAATCGCTCGGAAATTGATATTGATGCGGAAAGGGCAGGTTTTCCATAAAAATAGGGTTTATTTGAATAAAGGATGACCGTTCAAGGAGGTCTGACGTGGCAGTACATTTTAGAATATAATATGTATCTTTATTAGTACTACGAATACATAGAAAACATAGATATGAACATTATTAATATACGGTATAAGGACATTTCACGATGTACTATAGAAATTATCTTTTTAAATATCCGAAACTCACACTTATTATAAATCAAGAAAAGGTTGAAATGTTTGTAATTTTGACGAAATTAAATTATTTTATTATTATTATTTCTTTTACCTCAGGATAACCTAACGTTTGTTTTAAAAAGTAAAAAGAAAATATTTCTTTTCTTTTTTGGATCAAAAATAGATTGGAACCCTCTTTCAAACATTTTACATTATTCGATTAGTTATTCATAACAATCTCTATTTAAAAAAAAACTACCAATTAAGTTAGAAGATATGCTCAACTTTTCGTCTAATTCCCCATTGGATTGTTAAAATTTTATTCTCTATAACCATTTTCGTAATACAAAAACATTACCGAAGTGTTCTAGCAAAAGCTATTTAAATAATAAAAGAAAATAACAAAGTGGTTCCTTTATTTTCCTTGTGGTTTAATAAGAAATAAATCAAGTCCCACATGTATTATTTACAAATAAAATATTAATACAACCTTTATACATGGCAGGACTTTAATTCTTTGGATACATGTAGATATTATTCAAAAAAAGCACCTAAAATTAATGCCTTACAGATGTCATAGTCAAAAATTTTAAAGAAATTAATAATTTGTTTTGCTTCAATTTCCATAACTATGCAGAAAAGTTAGAATAACAGTTATTTTTTAAGACATAAACAGTGTATACGTAAAATATAGATGAAGTAACATTATCAATCTTTTAAGTCGCAAGTCAAAGGGTCATCGAAAGCTCTTAATGTACGGATGTGCGGATGTGTCCAAAAATAGAAATATTGACCTGGAGATATATCGATATATAATAGCC